CAACCAAACAAAACAAGCTAGTTGGTGTGCACAGTCAGTGTAGAACTATGTTACTGGCGCAGGGTTTTCAACAGCAGATTTTTCAGAAATAGATGGATCACCAGACTTTTCAAGATACCTCTGGGTGGATGCCAACCTCCAATCTTTCCGTTAGTACTGCAGCACCTCTTATTGAGGACCTACTTTAGGTTCCCATCCTGTGGCTCTCCTAAGGACATGTTACAATGGGAGTGCTAAAATTACGGGACTTATCCAAAGCCTTGAAGGTAACGAGGCTTTGCTGGAGACTGCCAGCCTCCAAAAGACAGTCCGATGTTCTGGATCTCCCATGCTTTGGGGTTTGGTCGTGTCGCATTTCGAGGTTGCCTGAGAGGTTTACCTTAGGAAGAAGGAACTAGGATGCTGCTGGCCCACGTCGCTTCCGAGAGCGTTCGAAAACTACACCTCCCAGAGTTCCCTGCGACCACGCGGCGCTCTGCACGAGACTGTCTACTGCGAGCCGGGGGGAGGGGTGGGAGAGGCGTGGCTTTGACTGGTCCCACCTGCCCGGGGAAGTGGGGTGTACCTGGCATTACCAGCTGCTGAACAAACTACCAGACTTGACCACCTGCCCTACAGGGTTTCCGAGGCTGTCGGTCTGTACGGGAGCAGAAAGCCTCATCGTTCTCCCACAGAGCGGCTGAAGGATTCTATCTTACGGTTGGCAGTCCAACGCTTAACCCACTACCCTATAGGACTCCTTGACTACAGGCCTTGGCTATATGGAGGGGGCTGGGAAGTAAGCAAAAGAGATTGACTGTGGGACCCTGAATCCCTTTGGGGATTTAGTCTGCCCTCGTGCTGGGCCACGAAAAGGTGCAGAGGTGTCTCTCGGAAGAAAAAGCAGGACTATTTAACAAAAACAATCACTGACGGGAGAATTCGGGGATTTGACAGTTCACGGGTCTTAGGAATGATGGGGCAGCTTCCGAAACCCTGTACTGGGTCGCTATGAGTCGGAACCGATTCCACTGGCATGCAACAGCTGCAGCAGGGATGGTGGAGGGAGGAATAGGAGCAAAGCCCAAGTCTGAGTGGCTGGAGGGGCCCTCCGAGTAACGGAGACCAATTAGTTGTGAGCAGTAAACAAAGCCCAGGAGTAGTGGCATGATGGTGCCACAGGCCCCTTGGCTGAAAGCACACAATTCACTAGAAAAGTCCGCCAACTCCCTGGCCCCCTCCCCTTAAGTCTCTGCATTTTATTTCATTTCATTTTACTTGGGTCCATAATCAATGCTCATGGCCTCATGGAAGCAGCAGTAGAGAAATCAAAAGCAAAGATGTCAATTTGAGAACTAAGGTGCGCCTGACCCAAGCCATGGTATTTTCAGTTGCCTCATAACGCATGGTATTTTCAATAACCTCATGTGCATGTGAAAGCTGGACAGTGAATAAGGAAGACCATAGAAGAATTGATGCTTTTGCGTTATGGTGTTGAAGGAGAATATTGAAAGTGCTATGGGCTGCCAAAAGAACCAACAGATCTGTGTTGGAAGAAGTGCAGCCCGAGTGCTCCTTGGAGGCCAAGATGGCCAAAGTTTGTGTCTCATACTTTGGACATATTGTCAGCAGGGACCAGTCGCTGGAGAATGATATCATGTTTGGTAAGGTGGAGGGTCAGAGAAAAAGAGGAAGACCCCCAATGAGATGGACTGGCCAAGTGGCAGCATCGATGGACTCAAGCGTGGCAATAGTGGTGAGGTTGGCCCAGGATCGGGCAGTGTTTCGTTCTGCTGTGCATAATGTTGCTATGGGTCGGTACCAACTCGATGACACCTATCAACAAGAACAACATAATGCATGTGAAAGTTGGACAATGAATAAGGAAGACCGTAGAAGAAGTGATGTATTTGAATTACAGTGTACGAAAAGAACATTGAAAGTATCATGAACTGTCAAGAGAACAAACAAATCTGTTTTGGATGAAGCATAGCTGGATTGGGCCATAGAACCAAGACTTCCTTTGCCAGGAAGTTGTCAGGAGGGAGACAGACATCATGTTTGGTAAAGTGGAGGGACAATGAAACAGAGGAATACCCCCAATGAAATGGATTGACATAGTGGCAGCAACAATGGGCTCAAACATCACAATTGTGAGGATGACCCAGGACTGGGCAGTATTTTGTTTCGTTGTACATGGGGTCGCTATGAGTTGGGACCTACTTGAGGCCACTTAACAACAAGAACAAAGACTCAGCAGTTCTGAAGAGTTTGGCTCCACTACTGGGAAACCAGAAGACCTTTCCCAGGAGTCCCCAGGAGTTTCAAACAGCATGGCTGCCCCTCCCTTAGTTTTGCTACCCTGAGCCTTAGAGGAAAAGCCTGCGTTTATTAGCGGAGTCCTGGTGTGGTGCTGTGGGTTAAAGCGCAGGACTGCAAAGTCGTTTTGAACCACAAGGTTGGCGGTTCAAGCCAGCTGCTCCTTGGACACCCTATACAGGGTCACTATGGGTCAGAACTGACTCGACAGTACTTAACAACAACCACCCCTCAATAGCATAACTAAAGGCAAGGGCAGCACTTTCAATCTACCAGTCACTCCATGGTAAAGATTTACAGCCTCAGAAATCCTATACAAACTCACTATGGATCCAAACCACAGCACACAACCACCACCACCTTGCAGTCCTGGTGTGGCGCTGTAGGATAAGCACTGGACTACAAGGTCATTTGAATCTCAAAGTTGGCGGTTCAAACTTACCAACAATTCCTCAGAAACCCCAGCCAGGGTTGATAACAATCACCCCTCAATACTTACAACAACCACACTAATATCACTTACCACTCTTCAAGCATCCGCTATGACTTTGTTCTTCAATTAGCCTGGTGTCTCAGTGGTTCCATTCATGGCTGCTAACTGAAATGTTAGTGGTTTGAATTTGCGGAGAACGATGTGGCAGTCTGCTTCCACAAAGATTACATCCTTAGAAACCCTGTGAGGTAGTTTCACTCTGTACTATGAGTGTGTTTTAAAACAATGTTTGTTTTTAAGACGTGGTGGCTCAGTCACTAAAGTGCTTAGCTGCGAACTTTAACCCTCCAGTCACCTCAGGGGAGAAAACACCTGGTGCTATGCTCCCATAAAGATTGGAACCTCAGAAACCCTATGAGACAGTTCTATAAGTCTTTGTCTATGTAGGAGTCCTGGTGTGGTGCTATAGGATAAGCACTGGACTGTTAACCACAAGGTAGACTGTTCAAACCCACAAGCCACTCCTCAAAAACCCTATACAGAGACGCTGCGAATCGGAACCGACTCGAAGGCACTTAACAAGAAGTCTATGTGATTCTTAAGAGATTTATGATGAAGTATCACTTCCATTTTTGAAAGGAACAAACCGAGGGACAGAAAGCCACTGTTTAAGATGGGGCAGTTAGTGAGTGTGGTTCACACAAGGCCTGTTCCATAGGAAGTATTCAATACATGAATGACGTGGCTTCACTGGGAATCAGATCTGGTTAAGCCAAAGACTGTTTTCAAGTGGGGCCACAGAACAAATGGATGTAGAGTGGCTCATTTCTGGGGCTTTCAATGACCAATTATCCATCATGTCCGCGTTGTGTGCCAAGGACTGATGCAGTGTCTGTCCCAGGAAGCTCTGTGGTTGATCAGGTCACAGAGCTTTGGCTAAGACCCAGGATCAGCTTCTTTAAGTCCTTAGAGACTGACTCCTTTTCCTCCTGGGGGCTTCAGGTTTCCATGATAGGAGGTCATGGGAGGTTGAAGATTGTGCTCCTGAGAGTGCCTTGTAAATCACTTTGCCACAGGCTCCGCAGCCAATCCTGCTCTCATTTGTCTTTGGCTTCTCGAATGCCCTGAGCGCTGTTGCTGTTAAGTGCTATGGAGTCGGTTCCCACTCAC